AAGCTACACTAATTAGGAAATCTTCAGCACCTATGACTTTAGGTGGAATAGACAGTTTTGCGATTTCCCCTCCAACAAAACCGATCAGAATGCGAATCACCGAACTCGATTTTTACACCACGTGGAGATCAAATTTGAAGGCAAGTAAAAGAGTTCGACAAAAGCCTTATTTACCAAATAGCAACGACACCACTGGGAAGACGAGTGGATAGAAGGGGTCTGCGCTGTGTAGAGTCGCAACTGTGCACGAAGACGTCACCATTCTGGCAGCCCAGCCAGACAGTCTGCTGGGCGCTCGCCGCTTCCCAGATTACCTCGGAGCCTAGAAATTGATAGGGGAAGGAAAAATGTTGTACGCTTTTTAGGACCTGTACGGATTCACCACCATGGTGATTATATGAAGCGCCGCTTAGCTTCCTGCACTTCTGATAATTCAGCCCTTCGATAGGCACAGCGATCATTATAATAAGGATTTCAAAGGTGAGTCGGATTCTACTTTAGAAGCAGTGCGTTACATCGCCACTTCACTAATTCTACATAAGAGAGACTCGTTTCAAAATGAAATGACTGGTAACTGCGCGAAAAAAGGCGTAAAACAAAAGCGCTCACTACAGATGGTTTAATTTTGAGTCTCACGATAATAAAGACTAAAATCACATTAACCTTTGCTGACTGCTCCGACCTCAAATGGAACGAGTCCATAGGAGAACGGGCCGAAGTCGTGAATAAGAGGAGTGCTTATAGTGTTGATACAAAACAGTGATTTACAAGTCAAACCATAAGATCTGACACTTCAACTTGCAAGACTTTGAAAACAAGTAATAGAATGACAATGGACGGCCAATATGAGACGAAATCGAGAACAGTAGTGTTCCTACGGTTGGCATACAGAATGTATTTTCCGTAAAACATCACTAATTCCTAAGCGATGCTTCGTAAACACTTTCTGTGTAATTTATTAACAGACCTTTACCACCAGCACGACATGTGCAAATTGTCTTTATCAGATTGTGATTAGTTTATTATTTGAACAATGCAGCATAGAAGCAAGACATTACAGATTCTTTTGGTTTTTGAACGACATAACTTTGAAGAAAACATGTCCTTTTACACACTACGGTAGTCAAGTTTGCGCTGAGATCCTAGTAAGGAGTGTGTCAAGAAATATATCCCACCCTTTAGCAGCACTGAGCCTGCGGGATTGCAAAATTTGAGTACCAACTTTCGCCGTT